TGGTGAAAGTGTCTGGCACACAGTCAGAAACAAGCTGGCTTCCTCCCTCCCTCCCTCCCCCATAAAGAGGCAAAGCAAGTGCAACTCTGATGCCTGGCTTCGTTTCTCACCGCACGCCTGTACAGTGGCAGGGCAAGAGGACAGGTGGGCAGGACAGAGCAGACCCGGGAAACAGGAGGGCCACTGGAGGGGAGGCAGAGAGGGGCGAAGCATCCCTGGAGCTGACGAATGGGCAGCTGCGGTGCTGTGATAGAGCCACTTAGCAGCTGTAAACTTTGGGCCAGTGACTTCTCCTCTCTAAGCCAGTTTCCTCATCTGTAAGATGGGAGTGAGATGAAATAACGGATGTGTAGTGCCTGGAACGGCACTTATACCTGGTAGGGGGTATAAGTCCATAAACGTTCTCACCCACTGTCCCAGGGGAAGAAATTTCAACTCATGGCTGGGAAACTTGAGCAAATCCCAGAATGGGATTCAGGTTCTTCTGCCCCCACAATCTGTGAGGAGCAGTGAAATCTTGCTGGAGGGTGTCTGCGTGGACTGCTCTAGGGATGTATTTAAAAATCTTCACCAGCTTTCTCACTGGTGTCCCATAGCACCATCTAGTGCCAAGAAGTGGAAGGGCCCCCCCCTTCCCCGATGTGGGCCCCCTCCCTCCCTCCAAAGTCCTGTGTGTGGGTGTGTGTGCGGGGGTGTGTGTGTTTGGGGGCCAGGGGGGCAGCACTGTTATAGGATGGTAGGGTAGGGCTAGACCACTCATACCTTTATGTCTTTATATTACTGGAGAACTAATGCTGTTTTTCAAGATACCTAGTCCCTCCACTTCCCTCCTGACAACTTCTGCCATCCACAAACTCGGTAGGCTAGGGCCCTTAGTTTCCTCATCGAAGGATGTCAAGGCTTCAGGCTAGGGTTGATCCAGGCGAAGTGCCTGGTAAGTACCTAATGCCTCCTAGGTGGGCTTCTGTGCTTGCTCAGTAACCCAGAGAGACACAGTCTTTACACACCCTCTATCTTTTTTATTGAGGAGAAAGCTTTAGCATACAGAACGATTTCTCATCTTCACAACACAGTAATGCAACAATATACAATAACACATTGGTTTCAAACGATTTCTTCCCGGGTCTCTGGGAATCCGTGGGCAGCCTTCATACCCCTGCATGCATCCCCCCATCCCCACCCACCCCTCTTTCAACCCAAGAAAGCACCCAAAGCCCATAGTTCCTCTTACAGCCCTTGTGGCTGTTACATCACAATATTGAAGACCTGGGAAAAGGGGGGAAGAGGGTCAAAGGGAGCCCAAGCCCCCTTGCCACCAGAGGGCCAGAAAACAGCTCACTGCTCATCTGCCCTTTCCCCGGCTGAAGCTACACGGGCTCAGGATGAGAAGCACCATGGGAACAGGCAGGGCCTGTGCTGAGGGGTCCCTGGAGATGGGCGTGCAAGGCACCTGTCCTTTGCACTTCTCTGGCAGGCACGTGGGCAGCAGGGCCAGCGTGTCGACCATCAGCAAACAGGGTCCACGGCTTTGAAGAACAGCGGTTCCCCTTCTGGAACTCTCTCCTGAGGAAATAGCTGAAAAACAGACAAACTTTTCTTTACAGGGTTATTTACTCCTGCACTGGTGGGGATGGGGGAAACCAGGCGATTGACATGTCCAACACATTAGGAGAATGCTTAAATAAATGATTCAGTCTGTGTGACTGCATAGGTGGCAGCCATTTTAAATCCTGCTGATCGAGAGCTCGCAGGATGACCTTGGCTTTGAAAAGACGCAGTGAGGTGGCTTCCCTGGTGGCGCAGTGGTTGAGGGTCCGCCTGCCGATGCGGGGGACGTGGGTTCGTGTCCCGGTCCGCGAGGATCCCACGTGCCGTGGAGCGGCTGGGTCCGTGAGCCATGGCTGCTGAGCCTGCGCGTCCGGAGCCTGTGCTCCGCAGCGGGAGGGGCCACAACAGTGAGAGGCCCGCGTACCGCAAAAAAAAAAAAAAAAAAAAAAAAAAAAGACGCAGTGAGAACACACTAGAAAGAAAGTGTTAACAGTGCTTGCGTCTGTGTGGTGGGATTCTGAATGTTTGGGGCTTTGGGGTTCTTATCGTTTTCTCTATTTGCCAATTTTTCTACAATGATTATGTATTACTTTTCTCTTTGGAGGAGGGGGGTAGTAGCCTTTTTAAAAGATAGCAGCAGGTTATAGGAGCTTGGCTCCACCGATCCCCAGGCTGAGAAATGTGTGAGCAACAAAAGGGCTTCTTACCTCCCACTGATGAACCTCACCAGAAACCAGCCGGAGGACTGGGTTTCTCCATGACTCCTCTTCCTCCAGCTCCTTCCTCTTGCCTCTGGGCTCAAAATCCTAAGGCTGGGCTGAGGTTACCTATCAGACTCCGGTGAGGAACAGAGGCTTAATTTACTATGTTTTCCTCCCTTTGGCCGCAGACACTTCGGCTGCACTTGCCCAGCTGCCAGGCCCTGTGCAGGAAGCCCAGTGTGGAGGGCAGTTCAGGCCAGCAGTGGATCTGACTGGCATTCTGTGGCCAGAGTGACATACTGTGTATTTTTCACTGCAGAAGCAGTGTTTTCTGGACCCAAGGCAAGCAGCAGGTCTCTATGAGGGCCCCTAGGTTAGGACCCAGAAGCCCCAGGAGTTACTAGGAGGCAGTCAACCGCTTAGGCCTCACCGCCTACTCGATGCCCAGCGCCAGGCCATGGCTTGCCCAGAATGTGAGAGACACAAGGTCAACCCGACTGCAAGGCTGCAGTGGGTGAAGTCTCTGCAGAGAGGACCTTCCTCTCTACTCTCAGAAATAAGGAGTCCTTTAAGTTGGAGTTGAAGAGCAGGCCTTGGGCCTCTCTCTCTGGCAGTCTGGGAAGGGAAGGCCAATTAGGCCACCTCTGGAACCCCAAGGATGGCAAATCTTCTGCCAAGACCTTTGGCTGGAGACTGCAGTCCAAGGCCTGGCCGGGGGAGGAGACCACCGTCCCTAAGGAAAGAGTCACTCCTTACAAGGTCAAACTGAGTTGTTGCTGCTGCTTTCTCCTCCTCCGGCTCCCCCACCCAACTGCCTACCCTCTAGGCAACATCAAGGAAAAGGGTAGGGCATGGAACATTGGGCTCTGTCCACTGGGGATGCCCAGGAGGGTAATGTAGTAAGAGGAGAGGGTCCCAGATCTGGAGAGCCCTGAGGCCCTGAGCCTGTAGTCTGTGGGAAGGTGGAACCAGCTTGCTCAGTCAGTCGAGGTCAGGTCTCAGCTGGGTGGTCCACTGGACACGTGGTTTTGCATACTCTCACTGGGCTAGATGGAGGGGGTTCTTCAGGGCCCTCCTGCTGGAGGGGTGACCTGAAGCAAGTGTAGGCTTCCAGGACCGTTTCTTGATAGCATTTGCTCTCCACTGATTATACCTAGTAAGTGGCCGCAGTGGCTTTAAGAGTTCAGTGGAGCCTGTCCTTTCACTCACTGGGGCAGAGCAGTGAGGCATTGGGTGAAGTCCTGGTTAGCTAGTCAGAGGATTAAACCATAGGACACAGCGTGAATAAACGCAGGAGAGGTGAGGGCTGGGAACAACTAGAGGGGAAATACAAGAAGGTGACCAGTTCATTTACAGGAACAGGCCCAGACACCTGCTCTCTAGCTCGTGGCAGGACGGAGCAGAGTGCACGCCAAGAGGGCAGCTACTGCTGAGCCCTCCTTTCCCTGGTGTCACTCCCCGGTCACAGTCGCAGGAAGGTCTGGAGTTCTCCAGGTCTTCTTCGGGTTCTGCAGGTTTGGAACTCCCTTAAGTACTGGTCGGTCAATGGGGCAGGTGTGGCAGCGAAAGCAGGGGCAGGGGACGCAGTGGAAGGGTGTGTTCCGGGGTGGGGGCAGCTCGCCCCGGCTCTCACACGCGAATGCGGCCCCGCGCAGCCCGGTGGCCCCCCTGCCTCGGAGTGAGGCGGAATAGCACCGGGGGACGGCGTCGTATTTGGCGTTGCCCCAGGCGACCTGCCCGGCGAATCAGTGGCGGCGAACTGTAGAATGGTGAATTGGTACCTGGAAGGCCCTCCAGAAGTGGGACTCGATTCTGGTTCCTCCGTCTGCTGGGCTGTATGATGGGAGGTGACACATCTAGGAAATTTTCATGATAGTAGCCAGAAGTCTGGGATGAAGCATTGGCGTAGGTGGGCTCTATCTCCATCAGCTCATCCAGGTCATCATCTTGGGTCTCGTCCTCTGTCTCTTGCTCCTGTTCTGGCTCCTGCTCGAGCTCCTGCTCCGGTTCCTGGCGGCCACCCTCATGTTCATCGTCTTTCTCATCCTTATTCTGATCTTCCTCCTCCTTCTTCCTCTTCTTCCTCATCCCCTCCTCCTCTTCCTCCTCTGCTTCCTCCTCCTCTTCTTCCTCCTCCTCTTCTTCTTCCTCCTCCTCGTCCTCCTCCCCTTTTTGTTTCAGCTCCTTCTTCCTCATCTCTTCCTCCCTCTTCCCCCTCTCCTCCCCCCTGGTCTCTTGCTGAATAGCTCTCACGTGCCTCCCCTGGTCCTTGTCCCGGAGCCTGCGCCTGCATGCCTCTTCATCTTCATCCCCACTGTGGCACTCTTCTCCCCCTTCACCTTCAAGATTACGGTCTGCTGCAAAAGGGAAGAAAACATTGCGAACCCCAGGGAGTGGGATTGGCTTGGGGACACGCACTTTTCTTTCTATCTCCACGCACTCGAGAATCAGCTCGTCCAGGTCGGCCATTTCAGTTGACCATAAGAGCTCCTTGCGGAAGAATTCTGACAGGCCTTTGAGGAATTGGTTTTGAAGGCGGCAGTCATCCCAAGACAAGAATTGAGCCAGGAACTGAAAAGCATCTGCATAGCTGCCCAGGGTACAGTCTCCCTGCTTGAGCTTGCGGATGGCTTTTTTTGCCACACTTGGGGGGATGGGGCCACAGAATTCCTTACGGATTTCATCCAGGAAGCGCGGGAAGTTGGCATGCAGGGGGCTTCCTTCCTGGGTGACTGAGACGGCCCAGTCCTTGGCTTCACCAGCGAAAAAGGAGATCAGAAAGGACACCCGCTCAGCGCCCCCGGGGAAATGATCCTCATGGTCGGCTATGAAAGTCTCTAGCTGCATCAGGAATTCAGCCAGGTAGACTGGGTCGCCCGAGAAGGGTTCTATCTCGGGCCGCTCCAGCGGCGGCAGAGGAGGCTGCGGGGGCAGCTCCTTGGCCGAGGGTGGGGGCAGCGCCGGCGGGGGCGGGCTGGGCAGCGGGGGTGGGTCGGCGGGCCCGCCGGAGGTGCCGCAATCCTGGATCACGCTAATCAACAGTTCGTCTGGGGCGTACTCGGGCTCGGCGCGCGGGGGAGGCCAGCACAGGAAGGGCAGTTCTCCCTCAGGAACGGCGTCAATCTCACTGAGCGGGAACTCAAAGTTCTCCTCGGAAAGGACGGGCACCACGGGCACCGGCCAACGCATGTAGCTCGAGACATTGCCCCGCAAGGAATTGACCTCGGCCAGGGCTCTGCCGAGCTGAAGGCCCAGATTGGCATTCTCCCCGCGAAGGGCATTTAATTCTTCTCGCAGGGCCACGTTCGCCATGCGGAGGCTATTGAGATTCCCGGCCGCCTCGGACATCAGGACTAGTCTGGGGGCCTGGAGCTGCGGGCGGGGGTGGGATGGGGAGCCGGGGGCCGCGGCGGGGGGCGCGGGAGGCCGAGCCACACCCACCAGGGCAAGGGCCCGGCGGCTCGGCCCAGGGCGCGTTACCTCGTCCCGGGGAGCGCAAAGGGCGGGCGGCGGCGGGAGCCAGGAGGCGCCGGGCGGAGGAGGCGGGCGGCGAGGCAGCGAGGCGAAGATCGGGCGGGCGGAGGCTGGTGGCGAGGGAGAGAACGGACTGCAGCACGATCTGTCGAGGAAAAATCTTGCGGCTGGCGCGTCCCCGCCTTTTAAGCGTGGCCCGCGCCACCCCCCCCCCCCCCCCCCCGGGGGGGGCTTGGGGGACCCCCGGGGCCCCCCCGCCGCCCCGCGCCGCCCCCCGCCCCCCCCCCCCCTCGCCGGCGGCGCCTCTCACTGCCTCTCTCCTTCCCTAGCTGCAGCTAACTCGGGTCGGGAAAATGCGACAGCGACTGCCCACTCGAGGTCGTCATGGCGACAGCCAGTGAACGTGTTCCTCTCCTCGGGCAGGCCCCCGAGTGTAGAGGAGCTGCTTCGCGAGGCGCAGCTCAATCTCCAGAGCCTGTTGCAAGGTACTGAGAGGGAGGGGGGCTGCGGCCGGAGCCCACGGGACAGATGCATAGCTTCTGGAGGGAGGCGACGAAGAAAGAGGACAGGGACTCGCGAGATAAAGAGAGAGAATAGTAGAAAACCTATTGAGAAACAAAACACACACTTTCCATCTCTCACCTTCCAGACTACTGACTCCAAAAGCCCTAATTCTACGGCTGTTTACACCCTCTGGTCCCCCTCCCTCATTTTTTTCAGTTCAGTAGTCTCTGGGGGAAAAGGGACAGAGGCCGAGGCAGGGCCATGGGTCAAGTCATTTACAAAGAGCGCTGGATGAGAGACTACCGCAATATGGGCTCGCATACCCTCAGGCCTTCTCTTGCAACATCACCCAAGTCTTTGGAATCCCGGCGCCCAAAGACAAAAGAGGCATCTGCAGGGTCTCCCACTCTGGGCTTCACTCACTCTGCTCTTGCAATAACCTTGTCCACATATCTCCTGGGTCGCTCCTGCCTCACCAAAGTAAGCCCAATACACAGCACTCAGAGCTCACCTCATCCCCAATTCCCAACCCCATGTCTCTGAAGTATACTGATGAGCACCTTGTACACAAAGCTGGGTCCACACAACCCAGAGAAACAGCCCAGCCATAATGCCTGAGCAGTCAGATTGCCTGCACCAGGCAGAATGAGAAAACCGAGACTTTGAAATCAGACAGAGTCAGAATCTAATTTGAATCCCACACCTAACTAGCTGTGTGACATTATGCAGATTACCCAACCTCTCTGAGCTTCAGATTAGTCAGTCATCTTTAAAATGGGGATTCCACTTCCCCACATGGCATGATTTTGTGAGAATTAAAAATAGGGTGTCCACAAACTGATTAGCAAGAGTATCTTGCAGCTGGAGAGACCCAGAGAAGATGCAACATCTACTCCCAGTCTGTGTCCTTTGGAACATAGGCTGATTTAGACACAATATTAAAATTAATGTAAAAGAAAAAAACAGTTGTGGTCCCCGATAGGACCTTACAGTGTGAAGAACATACACATTGACCAGAGGGATTTATCCAGTGTAAGTGGCAATAGGATTAAAACTCAGTGCTATGAGAGAGACTATTGGGGTGCTACAAATATCTGGATGGCAGTTACAAGGGGCATGAATATGTCAGAATTCACTGAGCTGCACACTTAAGATTTGTGCACTTTAGGCAAGTTAGATCTCGAGAAAATAATATAAATAAAACCCCAGTGCTAGTCACAAGCTCCTTACACCCTCCAGGCACTCACTCTCCCATTCGGGCCTCTTTTCCAAGCCTAAAAACCCTTACTCCCTCTTCCCCACTCCAATCCTTACACTTTCTTCCAAGTTCTATTCTTGCCACATCGAAAAAGACCTTTAACACTAGTTCTGCACTTTGCATCATTCCCTCCCTAAGCACTCATACGAGGCCCTTTGTACCATCCAGCTCAAGAGGACTTGTATAGTTCCGAACTGATTTTTCTTTCATTTGTTCATTCATTTACTCATTCATCTACTAGTCCCAGGTATATATTTTGTCCACCTAACCAGACTGGGCTTCTGAATGTAAAGGATCACATCTCTTACTACTCTCCGGTTTCCAGAAGCACCTGGCACAGGGCTGGATCCCCAAGAGGACATTTGCTGAGTGAACATTAAAAGTGAAAAGAGGTCTTATTAGCTGTCATTTATCCATACCAACAAAGGGTAACTTTTACGGAGAACAGAAAACTGCAGAGGGGCCACCCAACTGAACAACGGCCATGACCCCACCTCCCTGCCAGGGCAGTGGCAAGCTTAGAGAAGCAAGATTCTAAGGGACACCATGAGCCTCGTGTTCAGATAAGAGAGGAGCTGCTATGCAGAAAGAAAGAGTCAGTGTGCTCTGTGTTGCCACCATGGGCAGAATGAGGACACGTGGGTGGAAACCTAGGGGGAGGCCAATTTACCTCAAGATAAGGAAGAACTTTCCTGACACGCCTGAAAGCCCCAACTGTCCTTGGATGGAATGAGCCACCTTGGGAGGAAGGCTTCTCCCCTCCTCTGCAGGCAGGTGTGTGTGGAGGCTGAAGAAACACCTGGAAGGGATGCTGAGGAAGCCGGAGCCCAGAATGGGATGTTGGACCAGAGAACCCTCGAGGCCCCTCCTGACCCCAAGTTTCTATGATTCTTCAAATCTCTGTTCGAATGTGCAGAGTCCTGACTGTTCTTTAGTCTCACTTCCTTCACTCGTTGAATTCATCACTTAAATGAAACCCCTTCAAATCTTCTGCATCCTTCTTATTCCCCAACGATGCCCCCGAACTTCTCCTTCCTCCTCCGCCACTACCTCCACCTTCCCTCTCCTTCCTGGACCTGATATGCCCCCCACAGTGGGACTAAGGTGCAGGGAACCGAGCCCTCAGAGGCTCAGGTAAGAGTTCTCAGCATCCAAGGGAGCATTCCATGTTGGACTTCCCAACGCAAATTTCTTTGTGCTTCACACAGGTCATGTCCCTGGTAGGGTTGCAGAAAACCTGAAGAGATGCAGGACTTCAAAGAGAGAATCTTGCAGCAGAGAGTAGCAAAAGGCGTCTGCATCCTGAGCCTCTTTCCTGAGTTGAGCACTTAAGGTGGGGGCCATGGAGACAAAGGCTTGGTCCCCGAACCAGCACAACTCAAATCCATTGACTCTCTTTTCTCCTCATAGGAAGTAGGCATTTTTCCATTCCCAAATGGCTCAGACGCCGGGAACTATCCTAAAGAAGCAATGAGAGTCAGACCTGGCAGCTAGAGCAGGAGCCCCAAGCTCATGGTCCTTCCCTGGCCCACCGCTTGGCCGTGGCTCTCTAGAGTGTGTATCCACTGTGCTGTTTTTCAGAAGAATATGAGGAACAGTACTCGGAGGCCAGACTTCTGGGGCAGACCTTCCGCTCTGCTGATGAGGCCCCTGAGCCCACTCCCAGCCCAAGGCCCCAGTCTGCCAGGCGTCTGGAGTTTGTACTGATGGTGAGTTGCCTCCTCCCCCACCTGGGAGAGCCAGCATGCAGAGCTCGCCCCGCACCCATTGACGGGGAACCTGGAACTGCTTACATTACCCACTGGAAGCTGCTGCTCATCTCTGCTCACCAGCAGAGCCATCCTGAGGCCCTGCCGAGATGGGACCTGCACGGCAGGCGTCCGGCCTGGCAGCCTGTCCACACTTTCCTGCCTCCCAGATGAAGCCTCCAACCACCCTGCCTAGACAGCCATTCTGTGGGCACGGCTCGTCTCCAGTCGGGAGCACACCCTTCCCATCACCTTCTTTCCCAACAGCCCACAAAATGGCAGCTGAGCGAGGATGAGACTACCATGCAGGGTGTGAGGGCCCCTGAGGCCTCCCTGAGCCTGCCTACCGCAGCCGACAAGCAAGCTGTCTGGAATAGTCCCTTCCCTCTGCCCGTCCTAGAGGAGAAGCGATGGCTTCAGCCTTGTCCCACGCACTCTGACATCGTGCCCATCAATGTCTCCGGTAGAGTTGTTTAGCATCGCCTCTGTTCGCTTCCCTCCATGCCAACTACAGATCATCCTCTCCAAATGCACTGGGTGCTGGGGGAGGGAGCGAGACTTTCTTTGCTACTGGCTCACCCTGCACTGTCAAGGTCATGGCTCTCGCCCGGGAATGGAGGCATGCTCTTTCTTCACTCTCTACTGGCCCTGCCACACTAACTGAGACCATTTGATGGCAAAGGAAACTCTCTTAACAGAAAACTCTAAAACCTTATGAATTCATGTGCTCTTTGGAGCATCTGTGGAAACTTAGAGTGTATGAGTTATGTTTGGTTTGGGGAAAGAAGACTTCTTGTGCCAGAAGCCGGGTTTGGAGCACACAGATAGGAGTTGCAGGGGAAGTGTGGGGTTCAGAGTGCTGGTGGTAAATGGGAGGATCAGTATATGTGCTGCCGAAGCGAGCACTAAACGGGAGGATCAGACCCAGAGTACAGACCAAGGGCCTTGTGGCACTTTGAGTCATCACTCAGTCTCCTAGTGAGGTGGGCCTCTTGCACTTGTGTGAGACCAAAGAGGGATCCAGTACTACCTTGAGATGGGGAAAATAATGTACGCAGCTCAGCTGGTTGTGTCTCTGGGGACATGTGGCACCCTGTACCATGCCCATTATTAATTCACTGTCCACACTTCACCGGCTGTAAGTGGAAAAGGAAGAAGGTCAGTCATTTCAGAAGGAGATAGGGCCAACGGCCTGATGAAATCAAGACCTCCTAACCCAAGGGGACCAGAGGCACCCTGTGAGCCAGTGCCAGCCCATGGTGTGCTGGAAAAAGTTGATGAAGATGTTGAGGACAGCTCTGGCCACAGGCGGTGACGCTCCCTGGATACGGGGTAATCCAGCGCCACTGGTGTCATCTCAGGAAATTAGAGACAGGAAATAGAGCGCAGAGCCTAGGGAGATGTACTAAGAGGTGTGAGGGCTGAGAGGAGAAACTCACAAAGTGATGGTGGGTGCTTTGTTTTTGAACTTCTACCTTACTCTCAACGAGGCTGGCCCTGTGTTTTGCCCACAGAGCCACTTTCTGTGGAGGGGGGTACCTATGTGGCCATGGGGCTGAGAGGGGAGGGTTTGGTTAGGCAGCCGCTGAATGAGAGACAGTGCAGGGGAGCAGCAAACCTCACCCCACTGCCCCCGCCCTGCCCCTGCCCTAGCAATTCCACAGGAGCAAAGACTGAGCGGGTGCTTTGAGAAAAATAGATCTCAATCACCACGCAGGGGCGAACTTTGATCAAATGTGATGAGGTGCCTGGAGGGCAGACTATCAGACTGCTTCCTGGATAGTGGGGAGGGATGGCGCAGCTTCTTCGAGACACTGTCTTCATCGGCCTGAATAAAGGCTTTGATCTGAGAAGAGATTGCAATCAAGCAATATCTAGTCTCAACATGTCTCTCCACTCCAGTGGTTCTCACCCCGGGCTGTACATCTGAACAATCAATCACCTGGGGAGTTTGAGAAAATGCTTCTATTTGGGCCCTATTCCCAGAGTATTAAGTGTTCTGAGGTGGGGTCTAGTTATTAGAGTTTGAAAAGCTGCCCAGTTTATTTCGATATGTAGCCAGGGTTGAAAACCATGGCTCTCGGCCACCTAAGACTCACAGGTGACCCCGGGTGGACCTCTGAAAGCTAGCATGCGTGCTTTGGAGCTGCGGGTGCCCGGGGCCAAGTTGGGAGGGATGGGGAAGAAGGGTCGCCTGCCTGGATGCTATTCATGCTCATCGCTACTGCCATCATCCCTTCTCTCAACCTCAGGCCAGTTTCTGCCATACTGTAAACAGAAACCAGGATGCACCCAAGTGTCTTTATTTTGGCTACAGGGCAGCAGTTTGATAAACATGCAAGTTTGCGACACTCGTTGTTTAACACAGAGACAGCCGTGAACCCCAAGTCCACCCTGAGGCGGAGGCGGACCATTATTGGATTCTCTAACTATTCCCAGCGAGACCAAGGTGACCCCACCATAGCTGATCCCCCAAACCCTTCCCCTTGCTCACTCTCACCATTTCTGCAACCCAAGTGGTATTGCTGTGACAGGGAACAGGAATGATTGGGGGGGAGGAGGGACTTTGGATGTCCTGAAAAAGCCAATATAGTAATTAAGGATAACCAAGGACCTTTTGTCAAGGGCAGCAACCAAATATGGAGAGCAGGTCTCCCAGGCTAATAAGTTCGTTATGTATATATTTCCCATTATAAGTGGAATATAACTATGTATCTCGAATTTAGGCAGATAGATGCCTAAGAAGGGGAATCATCACTAAAAGTGCCATCTTCACAAAACCATTACTGCCATTAAATGAAGGCCATCCAAAGAGCACAGACCGGAGAGATATGGATACAAATTCTGGCCTCTCCACTTACTAACTGTGAGGCCTTAGCCAAGTTCCCTAACCTCTCTGAGCCTCAGCTTCTTCATCTGTAAGTTGGGGATGATGATTCCAACCCGGTGGAATGTTCCTGAGGGTCAGAGTTATTGTATGTAATTTTCCTACCATGTGCCTGGTACATAGTATGTGTTCAGCAAATGGTGGCTGTTATTATAAATTATCATAAGAGTAGTCGTCATCGTTGTCATCATCATGATATAACATCCTCATGATATAATAATTGTTGTGTATATGAGAAAATCTTTGGGGATTTTCAACATCTGAATCGTTTCCTCACATCTGTAGGTTATTCTCACTTTTTCCTATTGCCAAGTTAAAAAGCGACAGGTGTCAAAAATGCAACCAGACTCTGAACTTTCCAGCTGTGGCATACTCCCAATGCACTGCTGGAGCTGAAGTTCACACTGCTGTCCTTTATCAGTTCGAAAGCCTCTGCTCTCATCTCAGAGGAGGTGAACGCTGAGGTCTGTGGTCGTTTCATGAGCCTGGGGTGAAAGCCTAGAAAAAACCCATGGTAGTCCCACGTGCCACTTCAGCTCTGAAAGGCATATTCAAAGCTGGAAAGTCTTTGGAAGCCATCTGGACAATTCAAGGGCACCCTGTGACTCACTGTGTGGTGATGGGCAAGGACCCAATGTCCCCAGTATCCTCATCTATGGAAAGGAAGAACCAAGGAATTCTGACCAAGCTGTTGGCAAGTGCTTCTTGGCAAAACTTTGGTGCTCCCGTCTCTTTAGTGACAGCTGCTGCTGGGGGATCCCTGGCTGCACCACTAACGTTCTGTGTTTACCTCCCCCAGGTCACAGCAACAGCCCCACAGGCAGTGTGGCCTGCTCTACCACCTCAGACATCAAGCCCAGCCATTCAGTTCCAGGAGGTGTTCACGGAAGAGTTGCCATCAGTCAGGAAGCTCAGTTACCAAATCTCACCTCGCCAGTATTGAGAAATCCTTCTAGCGATCCGGAAGAACCTCTCCAGGCACGTGGTGGCACAAAAGTCCCTGGCATGGAGAGCATGGGGATGGTGTACAGCGTCCCCAGTTCTTGCAATGGACCAACAGAATCAACGTTCTCCCCTTCCTGGAAGGGAGATGCTTTTACCTACGTGACTCCAAGTGCCACTGCTCAGAGCAGTCAAGACAATGAAAATGGAAAAAGTCCTTCCTCTGGGAATTCTTGGATCTCTCTGCACACATTGCCACCTCTGGTTCCTAAGGAGGCTGCTACCTTCTTTGTCACTCGTGATACCCCAGCAGGATGCAGTGGGTCTGCTGGCTACTCTGAGCATTCTACTCAACGAAGGCACGTATCAGAACGACCCTCCAAGATTGGCCTCCTGACTGGTGATACCTCAAGGCTGGAGACAGGCCCAGGTGGGGCCAGCAGGTTTCGGGAGCGGTCACTGTCTGTACCCACAGACACAGGCACCACGGATGTGGACTATGACGAGGAGCAGAAGGCCAGTGAAGCCTGTGCCCTGCCTTATGCCAGTACAAGTTCTGAGGGCAGTAACAGTGCCGACAACATTGCCTCCCTTAGCGCCCAACAGGAGGCCCAGCAAAGAAGGCAGAGGTCCAAGAGCATCTCACTCAAGAAGGCCAAGAAGAAGCCTTCCCCACCGACTCGCAGTGTCTCACTGGTCAAAGATGAACCAGTCCTCTTGCCAGACGGTGGGTCAGCGCTACCCAAGGACCAGAGGCCCAGGAGCCTTTGCCTCTCCTTGGAACACCAAGGACATCACTCATCCCACCCAGATACTCAGGGTCACCCAGCTGTGCCAACCTTCAAAGACCCAGAAGGTACACAATTCGCCCACCACTGGTATCTTACTGACTGGAAGTCTGGTGACACCTACCAATCCTTGTCCAGCTCCAGCACTGCCACTGGCACCACAGTCATTGAGTGCACCCAAGTTCAGGGCAGCTCAGAGTCTCTCGCCTCCCCTTCCACCTCCAGAGCCACAACGCCTTCCCAGCTTTCCATCGAGGTGGAGGCCAGGGAGGTATCCTCCCCAGGAAGGCCCACTGGGCTGATGTCACCCTCCAGTGGATACTCCAGCCAGTCAGAGACACCAACACCCACTGTCTCCATGTCCTTGACCCTGGGCCACTTGCCCCCTCCAAGTGGCAGTGTCCGGGTGCGTCCAGTGGTACCTGAGAGGAAGTCATCACTACCCCCAACATCACCAGTGGAGAAAATGTCCAAGTCACGGCTATCGTTTGACCTACCGTTGACCTCTTCAACCAACCTGGACCTGTCTGGGATGAGTATCTCCATCCGAAGCAAAACCAAGGTGAGCCGGCATCACTCGGATACAAATTTTGGGGCCAAGCTGGCCCAGAAAACTAGCCCCAACCAGCCAATCATGCCCATGGTTACTCAGTCTGACTTACGTTCTGTTCGCCTGAGGTCAGTCAGCAAGTCTGAACCGGAAGATGATATTGAGAGCCCTGACTATGCTGAGGAGTCAGGAGCTGAAGTCTTCACCTTGCCAGAGAGAAAGGCAAAACCTCCCATAGCCGAGAAGCCCCCACTGGCCCGAAGGCCTCCAAGCTTGGTCCACAAGCCACCGTCTGTCCCCGAGGAGTACCCACTAACTTCGCCTACCTTGGCTATGACCCCCAAGACCTCAATTCAACATATGAGGCCACTCCCTCAAGATATATACACGGTGGTGCGGAAACCAAAGTCCTCCAGCTTCCCTGAGGGCAGAACCCTGGGGGAGTCAACAGCACCCTCATCTCTTGTTTTCACGCCTTTTTCCAGTTCCTCTGGTGCTTTCTTCTCAGGAACACAGCAACCTCCCCAGGGAAGTACGGAGTATGAGGGCCCCAAGGGGAGAGCCCTACCTGAAAGAATTAGCCTCCAGAGCCAAGAAGAAGCTGAGAAAAAGAAAGGCAAGATTCCACCTCCTGTACCAAAAAAGCCCAGCGTGCTGTACCTGCCTCTCACCTCACCTGCAACTCAAATGGAGGCCTACACGGCTGAACCAAGGCTGCCTCTCAGCCCCATCATCACCCTGGAGGAAGATGCCAAGTGTCTACCAACTAGCGACCACCTGCCATCGGCGGGTACAAGGACAACCTCCACGCCACAGGCTGACAGTGAAAGGGAGGCAAGCCCTCTGGGTTAGTAAAGTGTCTGCTGGCTTTTCCTTTCAATCCCAGGAGAGGTGAGGGTGAGGACAGAGTGCCAGGGGCAGAAGCAAATGCCCCCAGATAATGATCCTGATCCCAGGGCGACCAAATCAGTAGGGTACACCTCTTGAGGGTTTGAGTTACTCTAAATCCGTCTCACTGCCCTTGGGATGGAGACGAACCCAGGGGTGGATCTCCAAGGCCCAGCCTGGGCCAGACTACTCTGAAACCGCCAGTGCTGAGCTAATGAAATCAAAGTAGGTCTTAGCACCCTAGGACCTTAGGAGTTTATCTTCCTCCTCAGGCAGGCATCTCCTGCCCTAGGCACTGTCTCTCCACGTCACCGTATGGCACTTTTCACCAGCCACACTGAATTTGGTTTCATGCGCGGGACTCAGTACCCTCCCAGCCTGAGTTTCAAGTGCTATGGCAGGCTGGAAGGCTTCAAGCAGTGGAATATGTTACCAGCAGCAGCTTCTCTTAGTGCTTTCTAGAGGAAAGGGGGCTCATCTTCTTGGATGGTTTGAGCCTTGTTCTTCTTGGAACCTTAAGACCAGGCTAGAAAATGTTTCTCATCCTTTTGGGGGTTTTTCTTGTCTCTCTTTGTTTTAATTGTGGTAAAATACATATAACGTAAAGTTTACCATCTTAACCATTTTTAAGGGTACAGTTCAGTAGGTGTTAAGCACATTCACGATGTTGTGCCACTATCACTACCATCCATCTCCGCAACTCTCTTCATCGTGCAAAACTGAAGTCTGTACCCAGTCAACAATAACTCCCCATCACCCTCTCCCCCCAGGCCCTGGCAACCACTCGTCTACTTTCTGTCTCTATGAATTTGACTCCTCTAGGGACCTCATATAAGTGGAATCATACAGTATTTGTCCTTTGGTGACTGGCTTATTTCACTTAGCATAATGTCCTCTAGGTTCATCCATGTTTCTCATCCTTTTTGAAACCCTTAACACCAAACATCAAAATCTTATGGCCTTCCTTAAGCTGATTTGGACTTTCAACGTAAGTTAAATCATTGCAACTAAAACAAGCAAACAAATCGAAGCCACAGGTAATTTTAGAATCTGCTTCCTCAAACTCCACAGGCTCCCTCTGAGATTCAGATAGGTCCCACTCCCACCCACCGGTTGAGTCATTGCTTTAGATTGCTCTCAGCTCCTTGAGCTTTAAAAATGATGCGTTTAAAACGAGAGAATGCTCAGGCAACCTGTTGTAATGGAAAAGGCACGAGAGAACAGGGACCCAGGCTGATCTTCATCACTCCCCTCCATGTTTTGTTGGCCAAATCACTAACCTTAGGAACATTTTGTTCCCCTGCAAAATGGAGACAGCAAGTCTCTGCCCTGCTGCCCTCCTGGAGCTGCTTTGAACATCACATGAAATACATATGAGAATGTGCTTTGTCCTAACAATTGTGGTCAAAGTCATTCCTTCTGGTTCTTATGCCTAGGGAGCTCGATGGAACCAAGAACCGAAGAAAAAAGTATAATCAGTGATAAAACAGCCGAATGGATTGCGGAAGAAGATGATGATGTGTTTGTGGCTTCACGAACAACTGAAGATTTATTTACCGTGATCCACAGGTCTGGACCAATTTCCTAAATTCCTATCATAATTGCCTTTCCTTCTTATACCAGAAGAAAAACTGCTACCTCTAAGCAGAATGCTTAGAATGGAAACTGGAGACTAAGTTCAGATACCCACGTAGTGAACCCAGTCCAGGGCCTCACCACCTCCAATTCATTGACATCTTTGGGTGAAATGGAAGAGAGGAAGGCGGGGAAGGGAGGACCAGGTGCAGAGTGAGAGGCCCCTCGTCTCCTAGCAACCCCAGGGCCTATTGTGGCTCCATCTGCTTTCTCACAGCTCTGCCTAGAGTCAGAGACATTTAACCCTTCACAGAATTCCTTGTACCAAAAAATCTCATCAAGAAGTGAAGTGGGGCACCAGGCCGAGCATCAAAGCAGGAGCTTAGGCAAAGGGGGACCAGACGGGGACCCCGTTATTGGACAGAAGCACAAAGCACGGGCTCCATGATGAGGAAACGGGAAAGAGCCCAGTTATTGGAGTTGGAGCACCGGTTCAGAACAGGATCAGCTCATGGGCTGTCTTGATTCAGAGTCATTGAGCTACTAGCTTTGACTCCTTAAATTCTTCCTTGGTACCAGAACCTGGGCAGGACTGAGCCTGCAGGCATAGGCCAAGTGACTCTAGCTGTGGGCATTGAAAGGAATGTAGGGACAGGGGGCCAGACAAGGGACTCTGAGGACTTAGTGGAGAGAAAGAAAGCTGGTAAGTATGACTGCTCACAAGGCTGTTGCATAGAAGTTCCCAGATTGTGTCACTGGCATTCGTGAAGTTATATGAAGCATTAGGAAATGTCTGCCGCACAAATTCACTCAAAGTAAACTTTCTCTCATTTAGGTCCAAAAGAAAGCTGCTTGGCTGGAAGGAGCCTGGTGAGGCCTTTGCTGGTGGCAGCAGACCAACCTCCCACTCACCAATAAGGAACACGGCTGAGTCTCCTATCAGTGAGTTGGCTGCCTCTGCAGGGTCAAGCGGCAGTGCCAGCCTAGATGCTGGCAGAAATGATGATTTCAAGGCCTTGCTACAGAAGAAGGGAAGCAAGGCAACTCCAAGGTCCCGCCCCTCAGCAGCAGAACTGCTGAAGACCACTAACCCACTGGCACGGCGAATTATTGCACAATTTTCAAAAGACTACGAAACCCCTGATAACCCCAGTACCTAAGCCCTGGGTTCAGCAAGCAAGGTTGAGTTACTAAGCTTGAGTAGAAAAGGGGGAAGAGAAAAAGGGTTTTAAAAAGGAACCATGGAAATAACAAAAGAGCCTGCATTTCTTTTACATTAACTCACACTCTGGACAACAGGAGAGAGGCCACATCCAGAACTAAAATCATCAGGCACTTTAATCATCTTTAGACATTTTATGTTCTCATACTTACAATCTTGCCATTACTAACTACCGATTTTCTCCTTGTTTCCCCCACGTGGTATGCACTCAGAAGAAATTCTCAGATGCAAGGGCACATACGCCATCTTTTAAATCAATGACCAGGCTGCTCCATCCCTGGCTCCTATCACTGAGGGGCACAGTGAGAGAGCAGATTGGGGGCTGCCAAACCCAGGGGACACAGGGTGCCATTGCTGATTATTCACTTTCCCAGCAAGGCCCTGATGGCCCTGCATGGAGAAACGGAAGGACCCTGATGCCTCTTCAGCCACAGTATAATTCTCCGCCACAAGAGGTTTGCAGGTGTGCACTTGTTTCGGCATGAGGTTGATTGGATGGCTTTTGTCGTGCAGAATATGAATGTGACTCTGTCCTGAACTTCACACCTTTTTCAGTTTGATTGTCTACACGGAGATCAGGGTGATGAGTTTTAGTAAACATATAGACCCCCCCCCCTCCCCACCCCCCTTTGCTAGAAAAGGTCAGGACTGGGTTGCTTTGGATGAACCAAGCTTGGCCAACAAACAAGGCAGCCGTTTGTTCACTCAGATCTATCCAAGGTAACTCACATGTGCGCCTTGAGATCCTTCAAATGTCTGCCAACAACGGCAGCTAGTGTCTGTGCCCAGCTCATGCTGCATTCGAAGAACTCTCGCTTCATTTGCTTATAGTATTCATTACAGGAAGTCTTTAGCTGAAGGAACAGCATCCTCAAAGTCCCAAGGAGGAGAGAAAGTAAGTGTAACTTGCCCACCACCATTCACTTCAGATTGTGGTTTGTGGTTGGTTTGGTCTTGTTTAAAGGAAATCTTCCTCTGTTTCCAAACCGAGAACGTATAGACTAAAAGGATAGATCCAAAATCTGAAAGGCAGCCTTGCAAGTTGCTATGGCCCATAACCCAAAAAAAGGGCTACTTTTTGCCGTTTACTTTCTGCTGTTTGACCAATTTTCAATTAACCTTCTGGGGGAGAATGTAAGGACTGGGGTAAATGGGATACTGGATGCTGACAGAGTCCCAGGACAGTCATTGTGACCCCTTCTCCCCACCCCCTGCCAAAGCTTATAGACACTAACTTTCCTTGTCAGTTCAATTTTCTAAGCAAAGCAAGAGCCGTGATTCATTTGATTTTCATATGTCTGGTTTCTGGGAGGTTGGGGGGAAAAAATAGCACTGAACAAAGAAAACTGGCTGACTAATAATGGAGGATTAATTGTCCACCATTCCCAAGAGGGAAAAAGGAAAGTCAAATGAAATTGTAGCCTGCTTCACAAAGAGAGTCCCCTGACCTCTTCCTCCTTCACCCCCCACCCAACAGATTCATTGGTCAACCTCTTGGAGGATGTGGAAACTGCTCCCAGAGACAAGCAGATCTTGATTTTGGCAGGTCTCAATAAGAAGCAAGCTCTTTAGCCCAACTGCCCACACAGCGGAAGAGCAGCTGGAAAACCACACTGAGTGCTGAGGGGACTTGGGCCTCTCACATAGAACCCCTAGGCCTGGGCCCTTGGTTGGTACAGTTCTGAATTCTAGACTTCTGAGTACAGGCCAGGCCCAGCACCTCCCCCTGATTTAGACAGAAGCCACCTCAAATAATAGACAGCTCTTGAAAGCCCAGTTGCTTTTGAAAGTGAACCAACTATTTAGTTCAAGGGTCCTGACCAAATTTCAGAGGTTTTGCCTGAAATAAAATAAGATTCATTCCTGGCCTTAATTTATATATGAATGCCACACACTTGTCTGCCCCAGACTCAGAATCCCAAAGGATGGAAACATTTTCCTCTGTGGGGAAATGAAGGAGTGTTTGTGCTTTTGCCTAACAAAAGTGAAAGGCTGCCGGGGCCCTCTACTCCAGAACCATTATGAGCTCTAAAGCAGAGTATAAGACTCACACAGTATAGGACTTGTTACTTCCGCTAACTTTTCTGGAAGCTTCTTGTTTGGTACTTCTAGTGGGTTTTGCCTCTCCCCTCACCTTGCCACCTCTGGTGGTTTTCCAGAAAGATTCTAAAGCTGAATATCCAGACACCTTGATGTCTTTCAATTACCTTGAGTCTTGTTTTCCCCTGCAATACTCCGTATGCCTGGAATTTTTTAGAAGGTCTTCTACATCTTCACTATGGCCCTCCAATGCCCAGTGGTGTTGCCATTAGCATAAGAGGATTCGGGGCAGAGATGATGTGGGCAGAGGTAACACTGAGGACTGGTAATATTCATTTAATATTTTGCAACAGGTGGACCTAGTCCCAAACAACCAACCAAATTGTAGAATTTCTACCAATCTCTGATTAACATAATGCCAGACAACTCTCCTAGTCCTCACACTCAACATCTCGCCTCCCCTTGGGTATCATAGCACCAACTCTGTCTTCCACCCAGGCACAAGCCACAGTGTCTGCTGCCTCGTGCACCTACTCTGCCAAGGCTGGAGAAGAGAGGCTGAAAGCCCCTTCCAGGAGGCCTTTCAGAGAAGCGACTGTTGCCGCTATTACTAGTGTGAAGAGTGATAACAATTTTTGAAGGTGGAATACAGAAGGGATACAGGTGAAATGAAGTTGGCCCCAGGAAGTCAGGTTCCAATTCAAGTTGTTTCTGTCCCTCTGTTTCCTCTGATTCTAACCAATAGCAGCAGGTGGCTCTACTGGACTGACTTCTGCCTAGGCAGGAGTAGATGCAGTCGTCCCCAGGGGAGGAGGTTAATCGGTAGCTAAGAGCACTTTGCCCTTGGTGGGTGTTCATTATGTATTTGTGGTTCAAACATTGAGGGTAGGGAGCAAGTCGTTCTCAGCACAACAGGAAGCTTCGCTGCTGTCTCCTGTCCTTTGCCTGTCTCAGTCTCTCACCTGGGCCTCCCACATGGCCCCAACTTGCCCCTCAGTCCCTATTTCTTTGAACTGCATCCCTAGCCGACAGCTCACCCTTTAAGGACGCAAGACCGCAGGCAGCAAAATAGCTTGCATTAGCTTACTGACCACAGATTGACCAGTTGATCTGGAATCATTACTTTGAATGTGCAGAGACAGAGGAGAATCTGCAAGGCTCTCACAAGCACGTCACCGGACACCCATTTTAACTCTCCGACAACGTGGGTCAGATTGTGATCCCGCTGGACCCATCAGTCTGAGCAGATATGTCCACGCCACCTGCTCTCTTCCTCATCAACAAACTACTTATTAAAAAAACAAGTTCACAGTCAGTGCTCTGTTCCTCCAGAGGACCTTCCATTATCATCAAGTCTGTAACACAATGGCCAGGCTTCACTTTAATATGATTTGCCAGGGCCAGGACTAGAGCGGGGTGAGTGAGGTGCCTGGGGTGCAAAATTTAAGGAGGCACCCACTCTCAGGGCCATGTTAGTGCCTTACCCTCGTCCCGGCCTTGCGATTTGCACTCTATAAAGTAATATTGGTTTATCTTCTTTCTATGGACATGTATGGTTCTTCCGATTTCGGGGGGTAACTCCCCATCTGTTGTTGCACCAAATGTTTTATTGCCATCTATTTTTCCACTGCTCTAAACCTTTGTATGCCTACACATCAAAGACTCTTCAATATTATCAGAAAACATGGCCGATTTCTAAGTAACCTACTCCAAGTGGCAAGTTAGCACCCATTTCAATAGGGATGCTGACAGGGACAGCCCTTCAGCAAAATAGCGAATGAGTTGGAGGTCTGTCATTGGGATCCTCCGTCTCCTCTGTCTGCTCCATTCCCCCCGACCTTGCTTCTTAGCACCAACTCTGAGTGTGTCCTCGTTTGTCCTCCTCCTTGCTAAGGAAAGCATGCTCTCAGGAAAGGGATAAATTCCTTTACTTTGAGATTATAAGGCTTAATGATACCTCTTTGGAGGGTCACTTGCATTTTAACAGGGAAAAAGCCTTAAGCCAAAGGAATGACGTTCTACTTGTAGAATTTTAGGCATCAATCAGTTGCAGAAGTGTATTTTTCACCATGGAAAGGTCAAATTCCCTGATGACTAACTCCCGAATATAGAAAAAACCTTAATCTCCTGGAACTAAGTAAATTGCTGATGGTCGATTAAATTCTCCTGATTCTCAGTGCTGTTCAGTATGGTTACTACCAAGGGACTATCAGAAATGGCTACTAAAGCCACTGAGAAGGCCCAGATAATTATTATACCTTAACATTTTTACACAAATGGAATTAATACTACTTATTATTTGAGTAAAGAACACAAGGATTTAAAGAGTTTGTGAAAATGTGTCCTGTCTATGAAAGGTGAAACTGTCCAATCAGTGTCAGATCAATGTCAGCTGTCTGGTATCTCTGGTACCAGATTATTAAACTTCCTCGAGGCGCAAATTTACTGCATGCAGCCTTGGCTGCCCCCCAACGCTTATCTGTGTTTCGTGCTACTACTTCCCCTTGGTGTGAGAATGAGACCAGATCTATTCCAGAGCACCCAGTCCCTCCAAAGCCTTTGCGTGTATTTCAGCTGTACTTGACTAAACTATTTGGGATTTAAACGGATGACTGGGAAAGAGGTACAAAAGAGCTACATTTGTCAAAGGGCAGAAAAAATGATGAGGATTTTAACAAGGATATGAAATAAAAAAATTTTTGAATACTCTGAAATATTTGTAGAGGAATACAGTAGGAAATGGTTATAGGCACACATTTAAGGTACTTTTAATAAGTTTAACAAAACAAGAAATTTGCATAAGTAATGGGTTATGTGAAATAGGTATCTACTTTTGCTCAGTAAAGCCAAAAACCTAGGCCAGTGGTTCTCAAAGCGTGGTCCCAGGACCAGCAGCAGCATCCCTATAGTGTGTGTGTGTGTGTGTGTGTGTGTGTGTGTGTGTGTGTGTTCCAGTGACGTTACTTCTTCAAGCCCCTGAGTCACTGTAGCCACGACTCTCCAAACGATTCCAGCCTTTCCCATCTTTTCTACTCTCGTTACATTATGTGATCAGTCTCTGGCCATGTGGTTTATATTGTCATGTTGCTCAGATACATTTTTATTTGCTATTAAGAAATTATCAGAATCAATTACTTGCTCAACCTGAAAAACCTTTGATTTGACTTAGCCAGCACATCTGGCCAGTTTTTGGTTTAAAAACAATTTTGTAATTCACAAATAGGAAAGAGGAAAATGTGTTACATTCATTTGGTATTGCCAACCCTTAAATGTCTGTCTTTCCTGTGGTGGCTGTTCTCTAGGAGGGCTCTGGCAGAAATAGATTTGATTTTAAGATTTTGCATATTTGTGGAATTTGATATCAACAAATCTGTAAACAAAATCTGAACTGGAACAACCAGTTAACTCCTCTCTAATTCCAAGCTTTATGAAAATGTATTCCTTATGTGGTGTTGAGCTCTTTTTAATGTTCAATTTTATAAAATGTTCTGCATGCAAACGCAGCATCGTGCTCATTGTACAAGTCACCTGACACTCATCTCCTCCTCCATATGTGTGATGGTGAAGAAACAGCAACATGTATGTTCTTACCTCTCCTGAATCAATTGTAAATTACAAATCTTTTCATTAATTTTTAAATGAGATATATTTACTCTGGCTAGTAGTTAAAATTTTATTCTTTTTATTATATTTCATTGCTACTTTTTTCTACTGACTCCAGAGCTTACTTTGGGGACTATTTCTTATTTCTAGATTGCTGTATTGATCTTATTTCTATATTTATCTGTAGTCATGGTATGTTAGAGCTGAAAGAGACCAACCTCTCCTTTTACAGAGGAGGAAACTGAGGCCCAGAAAGTCAAAAAACTTACACAAGGACTTCCCTGGTGGCACAGTGGTTGGGAGTCTGCCTGCCGATGCAGGGGACGCGGGTTCGTGCCCCGGTCCGGGAAGATCCCACATGCAGCAGAGCGGCTGGGCCCGTGAGCCATGGCCGCTGAGCCTGCGCGTCCGGAGCCTGTGCTCCGCAGCGGGAGAGGCCACAGCGGTGAGAGGCCCGCGTACCACAAAAAAAAAAAAAACAAAAAAACTTACACAAGGTCACACAGTGGCAGGGCCCAGCCTCAATCCCAGTTCTCCTGCCTCTGGGCCCAGTGTTTTTTCATCCAAAGCACTGCGTTTATGGAAGAGCCACAGCTGGCTTCTACTTTTATGACACATGAATTTCCCAGGTATTTCAGCGAGCAATATATATGCTTTAAGGAAAATGTTCGAGTTCTTTAGCTGATGAATCCAAAGACAAATCTGATTTTCAGTTTAGAAACTTTCATTTCCCTCCAATTTCAATGTATGTGTCCTACTCTATACAGTGGATGCTTTCCCTAAAAGTTATTTGAAAAATGAATTTTTATAGATTAAATTTCATTTTTTTAGTAGAGAAGTTTCCTATGGAAGGGAGTCTTCTGGTGACTTCTTTTGAAAAATGAAAAGTCCTCTTGTCAATGTCCCCTAATGCCTCTACTTTTTTTTTTTCAGTGTGAACTTTTGTAAGTGGCATCTATTTAAAGTAGGGCAAACCAATGTAGGCTTTCCTCGAATCTACTTTATCCTCCCCTTCTTAAATTTTACAAGATAGTTTCAGACTGTTAGGTGTTCGTGAGATACTTAGTTGTATTCTAGAAACTTCTTGATATTTTAACAATCCCTGGGCTCAAACTCTATCTCAATCTTATCAAACGATAACCAAATTTCCTAATCAGTACTGAGCTCTGCATGCAGTTTCATTTCCAGAACATTCTTTGCCTAATGCTTCTTAGTATGACTCTCTCTTTAGCTATTCTCAGGCTTTCTTCCATAGCTCCTGTGTACCTCATTAGTCTGGTTTAGTAGAGTTGCAGGCAGTGCTCGTCAGATGGAGTGGTATTTCCAATTATCCCATTGTTCCAGTCCTTCTCCTGGACCTCCCCTGGTTTCCCTTTACAGGAACGCTCAGAGATTGGTGGGATTTTCCTCATCATCTAGACCAAGGTTTGACAAAGTTTTTCTATAAAGGACCAGATAGTAACTCTTTTAGGCTTTGTGGGCCACAGATGGTCTCTGTAGCATGGTCTTCTTCTTTGTTACTGTTTGCTTGCTTGCTTTCTTGCTTGACAACACTTCAAAAATGTAAATACTATTCTTAGCTCTTGGGCCATACGAAGCTGCAGATTGGATTTTGCCTGCTTGTCATAGTTTGCTGACCCCTGGGATGGGCATTTCTGTGACCCACATGATGACTGAGTTGTGTGCTGGGTGATGTGGCTCACTGCCCTCCCATCTCCCGAGCTATCAGGCCGGCCTGTGCAGAGGGGAGTGGAAAGGGGCTGCATTTGCCAACTAGTACTCTCTGATAGATGGACTCTCTCATCTGTCTCTGTCTCTGTGTCTCACTCTCTAACTACCTCGGTGTAGAAACCCTCATTCTTTTCTTTAGATCTCCTGTACTGGTTATCCAATGTGCCTCTGCTTCCTCGAGTGTGGGGTGAGCTGGCAGGAAAGAATGGATATCTGAGGTTTCTTATTTCGTTTGTCCCAAACTGTGGTCGGGGACCCCTGCCCTGGATCATCTGTCCCACTCTGCCCTATACTGCCATCACGTGTTCAGGGCCATGGAAAGTTCTGGAAAGTCTGGTGGCCCAGGCCATGAAATTCCAGTTCAGTCTATTGTTTCCTAGGGGAATCACTAGCTCTCTTGGTTACAATGGCTGGTTTTAAAACCCAGAATGTCCATGTGTCCATTTTAATGTGATTTGGACCTGTTCTAGACTCAGCCCCAGCAATGAAATCAATGAGGTATGGAAGGTGTTTTGTGCCCACAGTTTTTCCCCACCTTAACCCCCTGCCTCCTAGACCCCCAGCCTTGGGGATCGGCTCCTTGGGATGCTCCATGCAGCACCACAGCCAGCGGTCATTCAGCACACCACCACCTCCTGTTTTCTGAACCCCTAAGAGGGTTCCTTAAAGCTTCTTCACATCTCTCTCATCTCACTCCCATCTCTACCTTTCATGCTACTTGGGGGTGTAAAGCTCAGTTTCACATTTTCACATTTGCTCGTATAAATATTGGGGGATACGGCTGAATGACAAGGTGTGTGCCTGTGTGTGTATGCGTGGTTTCTCCACCTGGACTATGAAGGTCCCATTTACTCGTGTATCTCACACACACACACACACACACACACACACACACACACACACACCATCCAGTTCTGTCATCAATTCTCTGGTGCAGTTCCAGGTCTGATGGGGCTGGTCAAGGAGGAGGGATGGTGGGGCTCCTGAGGCATTTCCCTTTTCTTGTCTCTTGAAACCTTCTTTCCACTGGCTTGTGCTGGAAGCCATTAGAAGAAACTCCTCTGGGGCAATTCTGGACAGGCCAACATACAAAGAGCTAGGACTTTAATTCCATATGAACTCTGTCACTTAGACATACCTCTCAGGCTGCAGGATTTTTTAAAATCTAAGAACATTGCTTCTTGGGACCTTTAGTTTGCTTTC